GTTTTATTAAGAATTTATTGTTGTGTTTGGAATTAATGTTTATTTTTATAGTTTGTTTACTTAGTTTTATTTAAGCCTAATTTTTTTTTTTTTTTGTAGAATTTGTATTTATTTTTGTAGAGTTATGTTTCTTTTTTCATATAAAGTTTTTGAACACAGTATGTCTTGTATTATTTATTACAATAGGGCTTTAACTTACGTACGTATAAAAAGCAAGCATAAGGTAAGTAAAATCTTCTGGTTGGTATCGAGGATAGTATTAATCCTGCCATAAATGAGAGAATTTTTTGATTTTGTATTATTATTATTATTATTACTAGTTTATTTATATACATTGGATATGTTCTGGAGTACATATGGTGCACCTTCGAATGTTGAATGGACGTGAAAAAACGACAGTTGTATGATCCATAGAATATCCATTTCAGCAAAACTTGGGATATATGTATATCCAGTGGAATTAGTTATATCCATCGAAACACATACATTGCATTTGTAATGGAAATGTTTGTGCTATGTGGGAGGTGGCCACAGTGACTCAAGCAAATAAGATCAGTCCAGGCAATTCAGTAGAAGATGGCCACACTGACTCAGTCACAGAAGATCATATTCAAAATCCAGACAATTTAAACATCCTGCAATTTCAACAACCAAGATCAACTCAAATCACATGGATTGATGGTAATATTATTCCTGCTCCCAAAAATTTTTCTATACCGGATTTCTCCAAATATGAGCAAATGTCTATTTTTTGAAAAATTTATTAATGTTTATATCACAGATTTTTTGGTGAAACAGTCTAAAAACTATGCATTGTTTCTAAACGACGCTGACCCAAAAATTTCTGCAGAAGAAATGAAGTGTGCAATTGCTATTCTGTTTCTCACGAGTTACAATGTATTACCAGGAAGAGATTTTTATTGAGTCTCAAAATAACGCAAAAAATATTATGGTTACTAAAGTAATACGACGGGATCGGGTTAGACAAATTCTAAAAGATTTACATTGCACAGACAACACCAAGCCTGATCTTACAAATAAAATGTGAAAATTGCGTCCGCACGGGTAAATTCCAAAATAACTTCATAATGAATTGGGCTGCAGAAGAGTACTTAGATTTTGATAAGTCTATGATAACATATTTCGGAAGACAATTCATCCGAAGAAAATCAATAAGATTCGGATACAAGATGTGGTGCCTAAATACAAATTCTGGTTATCTAGTCAACTTTGACCTGTATCAGGGTAAGAGAGTATACGTCTGAACCGTTTTGACTTTATTTTACGAAATTTTTATCTAAACAACAATACAAATATCGATGCTACAACCAGTCTTTACAAACTTCGACCCCTTTATTTCCAGTGTCAACAAGAATTTCAGGAAATTTGGTGGATTAGAAGAAAAACTGAGTATTGATGAGAGCACGATACCCTACTACGGGAAGCACTATGCTAAACAATCCATAAAGGGCATTCGGTTTCAAGAACTGGGTCTTATGCAATGATAATGGGTATATGCTGGCTTTTGACCTTTATACAGGAAAATCTACAGAAGCAAACAACAACGAATTTGGATTAAATGGTCAAATAGTACTTTCCCTGGTGGAGCTTGCAAATATACCTCAAAATGAAGAATACAAATTGTTTTTCGAAAATATTTTTTTATTTCTGTGAGCTTACAAGTCACCTTGCTGAAAAAGGTTACGGTGCCAGTGGAACACCTCGTGACAATCGGTTAGGTAATTGTCCACTGAAAAGTGTAAGGCAAAATAAACTGGGAAAACAAAAAATAGCGGACATTTTGAATATTGCTTTTCCAAACAAGTCGCCGTTGTTCAGTGGAAGGACAATAAAATCATGTGTGCTGGCACAAATTTTGACGGCATTGCAACCAAAACTTACTTCAATATTCAAGAGACGCAAAATCAAAAATAACTGTACCACAGCTAGAGATCATAAACAAATATAATAAAGGGATGTGAGGAGTAGACGAGTTAGACGGAATAGTAGCCAATTACAGAACTAGAATTCGACAGCGCAAGTGGTGGTGGCCCATTTTCGCATATCTTTTTGATGTGTGCGTTTGAATGCCTGGTTACTGATGAGAAAATTTCATCCTAATGATCTGGCTGCATAAAGTTTATTAAAATTTATAAGAAATTTATGTTTAAAATTTTTGGCATACAGAGACAAAAGTGTAAAAGGTAAAATGCTCCCTAAAACTATCGAGAGCGTAAGATATGATGAAAGAAACCACATCGTGGGTTATTCCCAAACGGACAGAAGATGTGCCCAATGCGGCAAGAAGGCAAACTTTGTTTGCATAAAATGTAATGTGGGTCTACACCCCAAAAACTGTTTCAAAGATGTACATACAATTTAGTCTTGTATGCATGATGTCCCTCCCGTAAAAGGACCAGTTTATATTTTTTTATTAGAAAAATTATGTTTATGTTTTTTACCTATGTTTATACGTAGATCTGACAGTACAGAACAAAAATATTTTTTCTACAACTCAAAATGAACCTTATGAACTAATAGATTAAGGATTTTTTTTTCGAAGATCTTGATGTTCAGGTTTATTTTGATGACATAATTGTTGGTGGTAGAGACGAAAAAGAACATGGCTTAATCCTAAGTAAGGTAATTTGTAACTGAAGTGAAGCACTCGCTTCACTGTGATTACCGATCACTATAGTTTACTCTAGCTAAATAGAATGAAAGAACCGTCAGGAAAGTTGGCGAGATGGTCAGTAAAGCTCGCGCAACACAATTTTGACTTAATACACCGGAAAGGAAAGCTTAACATTGTGCCGGATGCACTTTCCAGGGCCCCAATTTGTTTTCAAAACACTTACGTATAAATAACTCGATTA